TCTCTCTCTCTCTCTCTCTCTCTCTCTCTCTCTCTCTCTCTCTTCCCCCCTATTCTCCTCATACTCATCAGCATCATCAGCATTCTTTCATGGAAAAATTTCAGAGTCTGTGACTTTACAGGTGAGGAATAATCTTTACTTGTTCTAGAAAGGTGGGAGGAAATGAAAGCTTTCTCCTTTCCTAAACGTTCAGATAATTGGGGTTTTCTCACATATGGGAATCATTACCACGTCCATGAACTACAAGCTACCTGTTCCACCCTAAGTTTTCTATGTACTTTCAAAACTGTAACATTTATTTTACAGTAATTGGTTTTATTCGATGCAAGGGAAAAATGATTTTTAAAAAAGGAACTTTAATAAGGATGTGATTTTACTGTTTTCTAGTGAATTTTAGTAGAACAAAATAAATTTTCAGTCTGTATTTGCTCATACAAACAAGGAATGCCTCACTAGTATAATAATATACTTAGTCACAGAAGAAGGCTTTGGTAAGAATGTACTTCCTATGGTTTCGAGATTTTGGTCCTTGGCATTTGCTTATCTTTTCGCTTCTTTGCTTGATGCCACAGATCTCTGTCCAATGTATGTTTATTAGGTCCTTCTGTACATGAAGCTATAATTCAGCTGCTTGGTACTGACATCTTGAATTTAAGTTCAGTACTTTTATACTTGCCAAGTAGTTTTGGTTTTTTATTTTCACTTTTTACTCTCCTTGAAAGAAAACCGTCTGGACTAGAACATGGAAATAGATTCTTTAGAAAAACATCTATTCTATTATCTCAACTGTGTCTCACTGCTAATATAATTTTAATGATTATTAGTTATTTAATACATAATTTGAAGCTCTCTAAATATATTTATAATATAGTCAACAATGATTTTTAATGAAATATGGGAGTGTACATTAATTTCTTAAAAACTCACAACAATATTTATATAGAGACATCATTTATGCTCTAGCCATTTTAAATTGCCATGTAAATTTTTTTTTCTTTCTTTTTTTTTGCGGAACCGGGGATTGAACTCAGGCCCTTGTGCTTGCCAGGAAAGTGCTTTTTCTCCTAAGCCACCTCCCCGGCCCATGCCATGTAAATTTTTGACAGAAAACCACATGTAAAATGATTAGTCTTATAGTGTATAAGACTAAAACTGCTTTCTCTCTTGTCAAGCCCTTTACTTTCAAAGTCTATTAGATGTTGGTTTAGCTGACAAAAGAACCAGTCCATTCATCACTAAAGAAGGTGTAATGTATGCAGTTCCACTGTGGCACTGATCCCATATTGAAAGCAACCTGTGCAGGGAGGAGTGCCTTGAAGTAGCCAGAAACCAATTTAATTTAATTTAATTTAATTTAATTTAATTTAATTTAATTTAATTTAATTTAATTATGTTGCTTCCATACCCATCTGTACTTTTGATTCTAAGGACCAAGATGTACATGTATCTCAGTAGTAGTATGCTTGCCTCACTTAGATAAAGCTCTCCATTCCCAGTAATTAATAAGTAAATAAAAGTCAGTATATATCAAACAATTTTTCAAACCCAACTATGTGCAACCTACAAGAAATACATCTAAAATGTAAGCCAGAAAACTAAACATAAAATTTAACCAGAACAGTAGAAAGTAAAGAAAGATTAAAAAATAAAATCTCTTCATTTAAAAACAAATAGTTCAGTGGCTTAAAGCACCTGCAAGCGGGCTCAGGGGTCACAGGTTCAATCCCTGGGCCTGCTGTGCCAGCCCCACCCCTGGGAGCATTGAGACCGTGATTGAGACTGGGCGAGGTGGCACACACCTGTAATCCCAGCTCTTGGGAAGCTGTATACAGGCAGATCACTACGAGTCTAATCTAGTAGTGGGACCCTGAACATCCTGTAGACCCTTCCCTAAAATATAAATAAAAATAAAAATTAAATAAAAACAAAAGCCCTAAGATTCTAAGGTGCTTCTTCCTTACTGTCCCTCCAGGGCAGCAAGGGACATGAGAAATGGCACAGCAATTGCAGCGTTCATCCTCCTAGGTTTTCCTGGCGGCCAAGGATTCCAAGCCCCTCTCTTCACAGTGATCTTTCTCATCTACGTATTAACCCTTGTAGGCAATGGCCTCATTATCGTCATTGTCTGGGTTGAGCCAAGACTACAAATTCCAATGTACTTCTTCCTTTGCAATCTGGCCTTCCTGGAGATCTGGTACACCACCACCGTCATCCCCAAACTACTGGAAACCTTTGTGGTGGCAAAGACGGTCATTTGCACTCCCTGCTGCTTGCTGCAGGCCTTCTTCCACTTCTTCCTGGGTACCACTGAGTTCTTGATCCTCACTGTCATGTCGTTTGACCGCTACCTGGCCATCTGCAAGCCCCTGCGCTACCCCAGCATCATGACCAGCAACCTGTGCCTGCAGCTGGCCTGCAGCTCTTGGGTGGTGGGCTTCTTCATTGTCTTTGGTCAGACAGTGCTGCTCATCCAGTTGCCCTTCTGTGGCAACAATGTGATTGATCATTTCTACTGTGATGTGGGGCCCATCTTGAAAGCAGCCTGTGCGGACACCAGCACACTGGAACTCTTGGGTCTCCTGGCAACCATCATCGTGATCCCAGGGTCGCTCCTGTGTACCATCATTTCTTATATCTGCATCGTGTCCACTATCCTGCACATCCCTTCAGCCACCGGCCGCCAAAAGGCTTTCTCTACCTGTGCCTCTCACCTCACGGTTGTCTCCCTGCTCTATGGAGCTGTTTTGTTCATGTACCTGAGACCCACTGCACACGCCTCCTTTAAGATGAACAAAGTGGTATCTGTGCTGAATACTATCCTCACACCCCTTCTGAATCCCTTTATTTATACCATTAGAAATAAGGAGGTAAAAGGAGCTCTAAAACAGGCAATAATGTCTCCAAAGACTCAGCATGCAAAATAAAACACACAACACATAAAAATGAGGTTAATGAGGGCTGGGAAGATAACTCAGTGGCATCACCACCTTCCTGGCAAGTGCAAGGCCCTGAGTTTGATCCACCAAAAAGAAAAAAAAAAGTATTTAATTCAGACACAGAAATTAACCATGACACAACATTGTAGAGAAGTTTGATAAGACAGGCTCCACCAAAACCTTTTGGTTTATTACTGTAGCAAGATAAAGATATGAACGGAAATGATGATGGTTAAAGTCCCCTGTAGGAATCTGTCATATATAAATGACCTAGAGCCAAGCATGATGACACAGACCTACCTACACAGTAATCCCAGCTACCTAGGAGGCTAAGGCAGGAGAACGGCCAGTTAAGACCAACCTGGACAACTTAATGAAACTCCATCTCAAACACTAATTATAATAGTAATAAAAACAGCTGGATGTGTAGCTCAGAGACAGAGTGTTTGCCTGCCAAATGTAAAGTCCTGGGTTGAAGTCTGAATAAATAAATAAAAATAAAAATGCCCCCAAAACCTGGTATGTTCATAGCAGGGGACTTGGGGAGGTGAGTGGACCACAGGTGTGTGATACTCATGAATGGATTAGTTGACTAATGAGTTTAAAGTTAAACATGATGCTAAGAGGTGAAATCCAGTCAGAGGAGGTGGCTTACTGGGGGTGTTTCCTGGGAGAGTCTATCTCCCTTCCTCTTCCTGCTATGGTTAGTGTCTAGTTGTCCCCCGCAAAGCCTCATGCAGTCATGGCACAGCTTCTAGAGTTTATGATTATTCTTGATCCAATGCAGGGATTATGGGTATGATGTATGATTGCTACACCCACCAGGGGGCAGATAATCTGCATACAAATAAAGGGAAAGAACCTAAGTGGCTGTTGCAGCTGCAGCTCTACCTCTTTGCTCTTCGCTGTTTTCCTCTGCCATGAACGGTTGCCCTCTGCCTTGGATCCCGCTGAATATGACTGAAAACTTCACTATGAGCTAAATAAACCTTTCTGTTATGGTTTGTGTCTAGTTGTCCCCCAAAGCCTCATGCAGCCTTGGGGTAGACTTCTAGAGTTTGTGATTAATTCATGATCCACTGGGATTATGAGGTGAGTGCTGCTGGCATTATGGGTGTGAGTATTGTGCCCAACCTGGGGCAGATAGCCTGAATGCAATAAGGGAAAAAAGCTTGCGCTCTGTTGCCATTGTTGCTGCTGCTCCTCCCATTGCTCTCTGTTCTTTGCTGCTGTCATGAAAGGTTGCTCTCTGCCATGTGCTACTCTGCTCTTGGAGCCAGCTGAGTATGAGCTAAATAAGCCTTTTCTTCCTTCATTTTGAGGGTTGGGTATTTGTCCCAGCAATGAGAGAAGAGTAACTGAGACACTTTCCTTCTGTAACTCTGGGCATCAGGTATTTTGCCCCAGCTATGAGAGAAAAAAAATTGAGACACCTCCCTTGAAATCAATATCTCTTTCTTCCTTCTCTTCCACCTCCTCCTCCTCCTTCTTCCTACCACCATGCCATGAGCTGCTCCACCCTGCAATGTCCCTCTGCCACTCCACTCTACCTTGGAGCCACCTGACTAGGGAATGAACCTTTATAAACTGTAACCCTAAATAAGCCTCTCCTCCATTAAGTTGAGGGTGTCAGGTATTGTGGCTCAGGAGTGAAACAAACTAGAGGTTTTCCTTGAGAAGAAAAGTAACTAAGAAAGATAATTCAGAGATGAAACTTAACTCTGCACCAAGGAAATCCCAGGATACTTCCAGAAATGAGGAAGAAATCAAGACTTGTTCAACAGTAAAGGGAAGATGGAGTAAGGTCAAGGTCAAAGGTCAGCAACTCCAAAAGTGTCAGGAATACTGTTTCCTTCTTTGCTCGTGACAGGCCTCTTTGCCTTAGCTCCTCATACGGCATACGGCATTCCAATCTTCATTTTCTCAATTCACCGTAAGAAAATAAGTTGAATTACCCTAATCAGAATGGTAGTTCCTAAATGTTTAAAAGGAACCAGGAGATTATGTTTGTTGATTATATTAATAATGATATTTCTATTTTGATATGATACAAAATTTTATAGAGTATAATCTGAAAGGGGCTCATTCTCAGATAATACTAAAACTTGAGGATTTCTTTTAAAATGTTCAAACTTACACCTTAAGGATTATGCCAGTTGTGGAGCTTCAATTAGGCAAACCATATGCAACCAAGAGATGTCTCAGAAATCTAACTATGTTGGAAAATTCAGCCCCAATGCCACATGAAGTTCATGTGCAAGACTAACATGAAAAGGTCTTTAAGGCAAGAAACAGTCTTTTTCTCAGGCAAAATATCCAATAACAGAATGAATATATATATATATATATATATATATATATATATATCCCAACAATAAAGACCATCATTGATAGCCCATTAAAAATATAATTTTAAGATTATTGCAAAGCACTTTGAGCATTAAATGCAAAATTGAAAAGCAAAGCAAAGTATAATGAGGTGAAAATGTGATTATCTAATCTGCTGTCCCTAATATTACCTGAGAAAGGAGACTGTCTTGGTGTTATGTATGACACACAGGTCCATTGAGGCTATAAGGGGAATCTAGGACCTTAATGTTACAAAAAGCCCTGTTGTCGAAAGAGTAGGCTTCCCTGAATTATGTTATGTAAGTGAGGAACAAGAGCAGTTAATGATGTTATAAAGAACCATTCATTTGGATATATCCCAGAAGTTCATTAATTGAACTTAGGATCCAAAGGGTTTGTGGGGAGTCTGGGAAGAGAGCTCAGTGGCATAAGCTCCTGCCTGGCAAGTGCAAGGTCATGACTTTGATCATCAGTACCAAAAAAGAAAAAAGAAAATGTGGGAAAATTTTTTTCCAAAGATGAAACTGATACCATTATTTGGAGATATGTTAACCCTCTTCTTTCAAAACTTACAGTCCAAATACCTGTTCCATGATATGCTAAAGATGTTTGATATTCAGACAGATAGCGTAAACCAAACTACATATATTGCAGGTTAATAATAAGCTTCTCTTCTGGAGAGTTAACAACCTAAGTTAGCAATTCAAAATTGGAGAAAAGGAAGGGCTGCAAGGTCAGCCACCATTTTGGCCCTAGCTTTTCAAGGTCAGTGAAGACTCGGGACATAGGAGAACCTGTACTGTAACAACATGTAACTCAGTTGTGCTCCAAATTTTCTGATCAAGAAGATTATGGAGCCACAGAGGAATGTGATTGATGATGTATAGTGTGCCTGGGGAGAGTCACATGGAGAGAAAAAACATTCTCTCAGGCTTTCACAGAGAGCAAACTGGTCAAGCAATGGCCGTAACTCATCCTCATGGTTGACACTGACAAAGGATCTGCAAAGTACGGTACAAAGCTAAATGATAAATCCTGAGGATACTTAACTGACCTTATCAGATACAAAAGTTACATTTCTTGTTACATAGGTCTTGCTTTACCTTGGTCTTAACCATCCAGCAGAAAAGTATAAAAACGAGGTATATAAAGTAAAGCCATATTAATACGATGAGCTGTAAAAGGCTCAAGTCAATAACTTCTGATGATAACCCACTAATATTATAGACTCCTAGACAAAGTTGGATTGTTTAGCTGAATTCAAACACCTATAGTATTTAGATGCCCATAGAATATTCACCTCTGACAAGACTAAACAAAAAAGGGGATAGAAAAAAAAAGGGGGGATAGAAAGGAAAGATCATTTTGTATTTATATATACAAAATAGTTAGGATAGATATACAGCTACTTTTGCTTAATTCAGTGAGAAGAAGGAGGTGTACTATAGTGTTTGGACAGGACATCCTGTCTGCTTCTTGTACTATGGGTAACCACTAAGAAGATAACAATGTACAATGTATTGATTATCGAAACTGTCCTATTAATCAGCTTTGAAACGGTCTCATTCATATTTATTTCTCAATAAAAATTTAAAAATAAATAAATAAAATAAAATTTAAAATTACATTAAAAAAACTTACAGTCCTTTTTTAGTAAATAAATAATAGTCACTGCCAAGTAAGGGATGGTGACTACCTAGCTCATGCGCAGTGTATCCACATTAGTTAGATGATTTCTCTTTGCTGGGAACAACACAATCATTCCTTATATGCCTGGTCCAGTGCTTCCAAATATTTGGGCTGGGTTCCCTTTAAGCAGTCTCAGCATATTGTCACCTTTCCAGTGAAGGATTTATTTGCTACTAATTAGTTTTCAAGGCCTGGAATACATGGGGCTGCTACAAATGGCACCCAATGTTTTTGTGGTACCAATCCATGGCCCTGAATGCCTCCTGCTTGGACAGGTCAGTGCACCTTGGGTTTTCCTTGGATGAAAGGGGTGACTAACAACTGTTAGCTGCCATGCCCACTCCCTGTGTGACAGCACAGAGGACCCGGGGCTTGCTCCATCTACATGGTCAGCTAGCCTCTATTTTTATTACCTCTGTTGGATTAGAGAATGTCCCATAGCATGTATGATCTCTAACTTAGTACACTCAGGAAGACCTTAAGGATACTGCCCAAGGAATTTCTTTGTTAAATACTAAAGAGCAATTTATGAGAAAAAATATATTACAAAACTGGATGACATTTTTAACATTTTAACATCAACATAGAGAAAGACCTATACAAATATCAAAGTCAGGGCCAGCCAAATAGCTCAGCGGATTATAGCACCTGCAAGCAAGTGCAGGGGCTGGGGGTTCAATCCCCAGGTCTGCTGTGCCAGCCTCTTCCCCAGGGTGCACTGAGACAGCAATTGAGACTAACTATGATGGCATATGCTTGCAATCCCAGCTCTTGGGAGGCTGTAAATAGGCGGATCCCTAGTCCAATCTAGTAGTCCAGTCTAGTAGTGAGACCCTGAACACCCTGTAGACCGTTCCCTAAATATATATATATATATATATATATATATATATATATATGAAATGTTGTGTGTACATACATACCTAAAAACTCTGCCAATATCTCTTCCA